TGCAAAAGGAGGTGTCATTATAAGTATAAAAAAATCGTTCGTGAACCCGTTTGCCTACATATTCCACAAGATATAGATGTTCTTGTATGTTGTCCCTCAGCTGTATCTCAAATATGTTCAGTGGATACCAAATTGTGTAAATTATAATTTAAAATTATAATTCAAAATTTAAACTTATAATTCAACTTGCTTGTGTGTGCGTAAAAAAAAACGTTTTCCATATTTTAAGAACATTATGTAAAATTTCCAAGGTAACGTGAATATCTGCAATACAGAATCATCAAATGGTATAAAATATGTAAAGATCTGTTTAAACCGCATATTATGGCAGACCTGCCGTGAATCCACGTCGATCGTCAAATCACTCGTGCATTGTAACTAGGCAACCAGAGAGCCTGAAACACCGCTATTGCATAATAAACATACACTGGTCTATGATTGACAATAATCTATTTGATGAAATGTTTATTACGTAAGCGCATGCGCTTAGCACTTCCGTTCCATACTGTAACATCACAGAGCGCATGTGCAGTATTGACATCCCCATGATCAACATGAAAAAATACCCAACAAACTTCTTAATTTGAATTTAATACTATACACTAAACACATTTTAGTGTTTATTAAAAAATGTGAATAATTTTGGAATTATCATAATTAACAGAATATCAAGGTATTTATACATAAAGTGTCTGATTTATAAACTCTGGGAAGTTAAGTGATACATTGCAATTGCGGAGTCACGGCGACGACAGGATAGACTTGTTTGTTACCACATAACAGTATTCAATGGTATATACATTCATTGACACGAAGTCTAAGCACGCCGCTATGATGGAGCGACTCAAGGAGCTTGAATTCCGAGGGGTAATCGTGACTTCTGCGATACGTTTTCCAACTGATGTCTTCCGTATAATGCATTGGTAACGTTTCTCCCTTGGCATCGATCGTGAATGGCCAAAACCCGTACAGGTGGAGTTCGTCACATAAAGTCAGCCCGAGACTAACCAACATCATTCCTAAGTGAAGATAAACACCGTCATTATTTAAGATCGTGGCGGAAGTCGTTATTGATGAAGTGGCCCCATAACATTTTTGATAATATTACGCAGTG